AAAAGATAAATTACTAGAATCCAGCCAAAATATGTTACCCTACGAGGTAGGTTTGAAAAATTTCTAAGCATTTGGTGCTTTTAAAATCTACAGGGAGAAAGATTATCCACAAATGGGGAACACACTCCACTGCAATGAAGCTTCGAACAAGCATTCAGTCTACCAAAATTACTCTTAAAGCGCAGCAGCAAATCATCTAGGATCAGGCCTCACTTTTCTAAGTTAAGGTTAGACCTGACATGGTGGTTTGATCCCCAGGATGATTGGGGGAAGTACTCAAACGTGAAACAGCTTAAAAGTGTATGTTATCTCTACTGCGAGGCTAAAAACCAGTCTATTTACCCATAATTATTAGAGTGGTGGTAGTGTGGATGGTCTTGTGCTTTTTTACTGCCCTGGGAACTGGTAAAGTTATTCTACTCTCTAGCAGATAACCCTTAGGAACAATGTTCAACCATCACAGTTGGATAATCCCTTAGCTATCCTGCGGGACAATTATCTAATGCACACCAAAAGCTGCATCTCTGAATAACAGCGGCCTAAAAAAGTCAAAACTCAAACCTGTTGAGGTGCTTTGGTGTCATGTTTAACTGGCAGTTCATACAAAACAGAAGAAAAAAAAACTTTCCAATGTGGTCAAAGTAAGAGATGAAAATTCAACCACAGTGACGTAAACGATTCACTGACGGGTCTTACAAACATCTGACAGCAATTGTTATTGTTAGAGCTTTGCACAGCTAGATGTAGGTTATAGGGGGCAGATGCCGATTTTACCAGTTTGGTTTAAACAACTTATTTTTACTTATAATTACAGTGAGGAAAAAAAGAATTTGAACACCCTGCTATATTGCAAGTTCTCCCACTTATAAATCATGGAGCAGTCTGAAATTGTCGTCATAGGTGCATGTCCACTGTGAGAGACACAATCAAAAATATATATATATTGTATTATATACGTTTTTTTACACTATTTATTTGTATGATAGAGCTGCAAATAAGTATTCGAACACCTGTCTATGAGCTACAATTCTGACCCATAAAGATCTTTTAGTCTGCATTCAAAATGTCCACCTCCACTCCATTTATTTTCCTAAATTAGATGCACCTGTTTGAGGTCGTTAGCTGCATAAAGACACCTGTCCACCCCATGCAATCAGTAAGAATCCAACTATTAACATGGCCAAGCTCAAAGAGCTGCCAAAGACACTGGAGACTAAACTGAACACCTCCACAAGGCTGGAAAGAGCTACGGGGAAATTGCTAAGCAGCTCGGTGAAAAAAAGTCCACTGTTGTAGCAAATATTAGAAAATGGAAGAAGCTAAACATGACTGTCAGTCTCACTCGGACTGAGGATCCGTGCAAGATCTCAGCTCGTGGGGTCTCCGTGATCTTAAGAAAGGTAGGTGAGAAATCGGCCCAGAACTACATGAGAGGAGCTGGTCAATGTCGTGAAAAGAGGTGCGACCACTGTTTCCAAGGTTACTGTTGGTAATCCACTAAGACGTCATAGTTTGAAATAATGCATTGCATGGAAGGTTCCCCTGCTTAAACCAGCACATGTCAAGGCCTGTCTTAAGTTTGCCATTCAACATTTGGATGAGGAGTCATGGGAGAAAGTCATGTAGTCATATGAGACCAAAATAGAACTTTTTGTTCATAATTCCACTAACTGTGTTTGGAGGAAGAAGAATGATGAGTACCATCCCAAGTACACCATCCCTACTGTGAGACATGGGGGTGGTAGCGTGATGTTCTGGGGGTGTTTTTCTGCACATGAGACAGGGCGACTGCACTTTATAAAGGAGAGGATGACCGGAGCATGTATTGGGATATTTTGGGGAACAACCTCCTTCCCTCAGTTAGAGCATTAAAGATGGGTGGAGGCTGGGTCTTCCAACATGACATGACCCGAAGCACAGCCAGGATAACCAAGGAGTGGCTCTGGAAGAAGCATAGCAAGGTGCTGGCATGTCTGGAGTTGAGGAAGCTCAACTCTGTGTTTCTCAGCGACATCTCAGAAACCTGACTGATCTAGAGAAGATCTATGTGGAGGAGTGGGCCAAAATTCCTCCTGCCATGTTTGCAAATCTGGTGAAGAACTACAGGAAACATTTGACCTCTGTAATTGCAAACAAAGGCCACTGTAAAAAAAATATTAACATTGATTTTATCAGGTGTTCAAATACTTATTTGCGGCTGTATCACACAAATAAATAGTTAGAAAAAATCATACATTGTGATTATTTTTTTTTTTTAGACCATGTCTCTCACAGTGGACATGCTCCTACGATGACCATAGCAGCAACATAACAGTAGAACCCACTTTGTCAGACCAGGCACATCGTTACACACATGGTTCCAGTGCTTCGGCCCCAGATGTGTTCTGAATAGCCTCAGATCTTACAAAAGAACATGGTTAGAGGAAAATGTCTGTTGAGCTCAAAAAATACATTAAACACACATTTGTATTAAAATCAATCATATTTTTTCAGTTGTAATAGATATAATCGCCAGCTGAAGGTAACCTGATAATGAGTCAGAGAAGAAGTCCAGTAGCGCAACTGCTCGCAAAGACATGGTGTAGAGAACTTTAAAATGCTTTTTAGTTCAGGATCGTCTGCCTATTTTATTTACCACTCTGAAAGTTATACTAAACGCCAAGAGCAAGGCTACAATAGTGGACATTGATCATCAGTGTAGCCAAGAACTCATTAAGAGCGATAGAAGCTGGTTCACGCAGGAACAGCTGGAAGCTCTGGCTGAAGAAAGCAGTAAAAACTGCATGATGCCTGAATGGATTAATTTTAAAAATAAAGTGGAGGATGTTCTTTTTCTGGGTGGATCATCAAAATAAGTGGTCCTCCTGATGGTCAATCATTCTACTGATATGTCTACGTAAGGCCGTCCTACTTGCTCGTCCCCATTTTCACTTACCGGTAGTGAGTCTGACATAGTGGAAAAATTGCAAATCTTCTTTTAGAAAGTAAGCATCTATGAGCAATGCAAACAGCAACTTTTAAACAGTGCGTGCACAAAGAGAAATGGGCTCCTGCAGGCTCTCACATGCGTTTAATAAGCGTTCTCTATCAGGAGCAGGTACAGGTTTGTGCATGTGCAGGTTTGTGCATTTTTTTAATAGGAGAGGGCAGGTCTTTTCAAAAATAAGCAAAAACCTTAATTATACCTTTAAGTTAAACCTAATTGTCAATTATTAAACCAGCAATATCGGTGTGGAGCTTTACTCTAAAAAGCATAATCAGCAGGGTTTTGAAGAGGGACTTTGACCCTACAATTTAAAGTGTTGTTGGATTTGCATCACGATCTGAAAAGCATTTGGTCCTTTTAGCAGCTTAAAGAAAGTTCTGTCAAAAAATGTACATTTTGCTTGCATAAACCCTCGTAAACCTCTGATCAAGATACACAAAAAAGTGTGAAACATAATTTTAAGTTGTGCATTTTCATCTTAAAGTCAATTTTGTGTTACATGGAGCAGAGAATTATGTTTACGATGTAACCAAACTTATTTTTCCCCCCGAAATGGTACTTTCACAATTCTTGGTCATCAGCTATGCTAATTAAAATAAAGAGCTGTTAGACATTTTATAAAAGCTGCTTCTTTGCGTGTTGTACTGATGATATCAGGTTAAAAAAAAAAAAAAATTTACCATGCACTAATAATGTGCATGTCTAGATTTCAAAAACTAGATAAGACCCAAAGGCTAGCATCAAAACTGCTACAACAGCTCCTTTATATGGTCAGCATTCCTATTGTGTTCATTGAAGTAGAAATGTGACAAATCTTGGTTTTTAGATGTATAAAAATAACACATGAATGGAAGAACTGTTCTGCTCTAAAGCAGCCTTAGAAGATGGAGATGTGACAAAGACGTTATAGCCAATCTGAATCTAACCCGGCTGTCCTCTTTCTTTCAAGGCTGCTCTACCAACAGCACACAGAGATAAACGAGCCTCAACATAACCTCAAAAGCAGCCCATCGCACTGACAGGAAGACATTTAGGGCTTTCAGCTCCGGATATGTAGTTTCTTATTTCCTGTTCTTTCTAATCTCTCTCACTGTAATGCAATTTTACCACCCAATTTTACAAATAGATGAGTCCATTTATGATTTTTTCCCCCCACTGTTCAAGCTTCTAAAAAAAGCACAGTTTAAATTAATGTTTAAATGTATTGATTATTTCATTTGTAATCTGATTTTTTATATGCAGACTCAGGGAAATAAAGTTCTGATGATTAATCTTGTATATTTCACTTTAGGAAAAATTCAGTAAAAAAAAACCTGAAGGAAACAATATCGGCAAATTAAATCTATGATTGCAAGACAATGAAGAAAATGGCTTATTTCCTGTAAACAGAGGCTGCAAATGCAAGAAACGTGTAACATGGTGGCTGTTTAGTTTAGAAATGATGGCCAAATCTAAATCATGAACTGAAACAAGAAGCAGATATAAACTTAAGGTCAAACAGCATCACACTGCAAGTTAACCGTCATGGAATCCAAAAAAAATGTCTGACCCATTAATGTGAGTTCCATTTAAAGTGAGAAGATCACCGCAGAAACGTGCTCAAAGAAATACCTTCAGCTAAAAAAAAAAATCATTCAGCAATTGTGTGACAAAGCATGCAAATTGGGATGTACAAAAATATCAGCATGTGCACCAAGTATAGATTTATTTTGATTGTAGTTAATTTTTTAAATGGTTAAAGAACTCTACTGTACCCTTTTGCAAATATTAGTGGAGGAAACCGCATCATTTTTAACAGGCTCCCCAACTTCAATTTGGGCCTGAAAAAATCCCCCTACTTAAAACATGCTACAGGCAGCTTGTGATCATGTTGTAACATCATTAAAATTGTGTAAATAAAAGATAATATACCATCCACAGCTGTATATATGCTCCTAATGGAAACAAATCTAGTTCTGCTATAGATGAAGCAGTTACATCCGCTTCATCTGTTATCTTTCTGTTCTGTTTTCAGATGGTTTTTTCACTGATCCGGTAATCTGCTACTTTTTGGATGCGTTCCTGATGGTCTACTGTATCGCAGTAACGGCACTGTTCTTCAGAGAAAAAGTGAGTACTTGCACAGGTCATCAATACTTTACAAACTATAGGTCAGAATAGATTAAATGTCTCTGCAAAAGAATAGACTATATAATCCATCAGTAGCTAAACTTTAAAAACATTGCCTTCCTAGATAATGTTAACCCCTCCGATTTTTTCTTTTTAAAGATTTTATGAGATAAACTAATGGAGTTTTGGAAAAATTTTTAAAAAAAACCTTTTTTTTTTCAAATGAAAACCAAAAAGTGTGATCCAGCTGTCCTCTGAAAGACTCAGAAATTATTTAGTGAAGAAGCAGCATGACGAAGATGAAGGAAAAACAGATGGCAGACCAGAGATGAATAATTGCAGGTGTGTTAAGTCAGGCTAAACACTATCTGAAGGTTTGGATATCTCAGATTACCATTCATTCAATTTAACAACTGAAATAAAACAAAAGTGAAAGAAGGTACAATTGCAAATCTACCAAGACAATGCTGCCCACCTGAACTGTTATACCATACAATTAGAGCATTTAAACAGGCCCATGGCAACACTGGAGGGTTAAATCAGACTGAGAAGCTATGGTAAGGTTTGAAAACTGATAGTTGCACATATTCTACGTCCAGTTTAACTAAGATTTAGCTAATTTTCAAAGAACTGGGCCCCATTTCACAAAGCAGGGTAAATGGTAATCTAGAGTAAATTCTGGGGTAAACTGCATACCCTGACTTTTCTGTTTCATAAAGCAAGGATGCCACAATTTTTAATAAAATAATGACAAAAAATGAGTCCATGAAGCAACCCTGCTCAGTAGGAGATATTGGCAGCCATGGCCCGGTACACATTTTTTCATTCATTACTGCCTGTTATGTTGCACGGCAAGAAAATATGTAATCTCTGTGTTATTTTATCTAAGTTTCTTCAAATTTAGAGTTTAGCTGTCAACCTGTTCCCATGGGGAATCTCCTCATCTGTGTTCCATTGATAAGGGCTTTTCACACGCTCAAAGATGATTCAATGCAGAGTTTAGTTAAGTGTCGATATCCCCTTTTTCTGAAATCAAAGGGATAGAACAACTCGGAGTATCTGCTTATTAATCATGGAAGGACAGCTCTGATACAGATATTGATTGATTGACTTTATTTATTTTATTGAAATTTACTGGTTACGTCGGCTCAATAGTCGAAAAGAAGTGCCAAAGGGAGGAAAAGGTGCATGGGGGTATATACAGTATATACAGTACATCCTCATATATGTATATATAACAGCTGTAGTTTAGGATTATTCATCCATCCATTCATTATCTGACATGCTTGTCAATTGGGGTTGCAAGGGGTGCTGGTGCCTATCTCCAGCAGTCCTCAGAATTATTATACAGGGTTATTGCACAGGTTATTAAATGGGTATTTATATAGATGGGTATTTATATATAATTAAACCAAAAGTTCATCCTGCAATTATTGGCTCAGGGTATTTAGTGACAAAATATGTAAGCCCCAAAAACAAAGAGTCAAATTCTTCTCCAAAAAGAAATAAATATAAATGAAAGGCTCATCAAAATATTGTTGTATTCCTGTTATTATTTATTTTGCTTAAAATGTTTGATTTAATCTTTGTTTATTTTTGGTTTAGTTCTCCAAAATGAAGTTTGCTCCACCTGAGTCTGTAAGTTTCCAAACTTGACAAAAATGTCTTTAAGCAATATTTTCTCTAATCAGCTTTCCATATAAGCTATATACTTCTCCTAACTCCCTATGCATTTTATTCTCTTTTCTAAAAAAAATAAGGAGGATAAAGGGGGCATTTATCAGGTAAGGGCATTCACCCCTTTGTTCAAATGATCACTTTTTGTCAGACTTTGCTGCTCTGCTCACATCTATTTATTGCTTAATCCTTTTGTTTTAGGAACTTGAGAGGCCAGATGCTGATCCTTATCAACAGATTCATCCAAAAAAAGCAAAGGTTAGTGTAAATCTTCTTTGAACTCATTTCCACTTGTAACCTTCCTCCTTTTTTTCATCATGTTGTTTTGTCCTTCCAGAAAAAAACTGACAAGAAGCGACCAAAGGTAAACTAGCCTGCTAATCTGACATGTGAAACTCATTTTGAATTAAGTAAAAACATTTTCAGCCTTTTTATGACTCCATTCAGCATAAGTCGAACCAGCAACAGAGTTAAAATAAATTAGTTCAAATTAATTATTTATCAGCAAAAAATCTGAGAAAAAAAACTTTATTGATATACAATTTTGTTTTAACATCATAGAATTCAATAACCAATGTTCCAGCTGCTTTGTCTGAACTTCATGCTGACAGGATGTATTATATTGTCTTTCTTTTACACTCATTTGCATCATGAAGAATAAAAAACACTATTTTAAGTAAACCCCAAACTTGCTAAACACAAAGTGTAGATTTTTTTTTAAAGATATGTAAACTGTGACAATTTAATGTCAAATAACGGTCTACCATCATATTTATAACATTTTAAACTCCCAAAATCAGAAGCATTTTGAAATCTATTTACCCTCTCAGGCTCAAATTAAGTTGTAGTTGCAGGAAAAATCTGATATTTTGAGAAAAAGATCATATGGGGTAGTAATATACAATTCAGACTTTTTTTTTGATGGACCTTCACATGCAATGAATTCTGGGATGTTGCAGATTTGCAACAGTGGCCCAGAGTGGTAAATTAACACTGAAGACTGAATCTGATATGAACGTTAACTTTATTTGAATGTAACAAACAAAAAGTTAACAAAACAAAATTCGAAAAATAAATTTTCTCTCACAAATTAGAGACAACTTTTTCTCACACTTTTTCTCCACCGACATCTCAAAACCTCTTGAGGAGGCTGTTTCTGTTAAACTATTGCTCAAAATATAGGCAAACTAGTAGATAAAGCATGTAGCTCCATTGGTACCTGTTTGGGCACACGTTGTGAATCCACAACATTGAAATCGAGATGCCTCTGGTGAAAAACCCAGAGGAGATAAAATCTACTAATTGGCATGTGTCATATCTATACACATTCATGATTCATCTTATGTAGTATTGATTTCAAAATAATGGAAATTGGTAGTGATACTTACATGAAATTGGTGCTTAGAAAATGTGTTTCAGTGACACCAAGGACTCAGCCATGTTGAAAGTGAGTCAGCAGTGCTATCTGGTGAGCTGGAGAGAAACTGTTTGTTGTAAATGCACACAGTCTTTCTGTTGTACTTCTGAGTAACAAAAGCTCTTAACATATGGATGTGGAATAATTAGCTAAGTGGCTTTTAGCTGTTGCAAATCTGCAACATCTGCCTGGAGAGGGTTAATCTAATAACTATAAGCCTACTGTACAGTTTCAGCACTACTATTTCTGATATTGCCATACTTGTTCCCTGCTATAGCTATGGCATAGCAGAACATTTCAATGTGAAGCTTTACCTCTGTCTCTTCCCTTCATTGCCAGGGCAACCCTGAAAGATCAGCACCCGTATAAATCCGTCCCTTCGACCTGCCCGGTCTCCTTAGGAATGTACTCAACATCTCCAGAGACAGTGAAGCGAACCGCAACTGAGATTATTGGATGAATCTTGCCAGTTTTACTTTAAGTTTTAAGTACTCTTTCCTTTTCTCCTTGCTTTAATGTAACCTATTAACACTTTCCATTTAATTTGCTGGTAGGATGTCTAACAGACATAACGGGCTTTAAAGCAGCCAAGAGCAGATATGTACATAGGCTGTATGAAACAAGAACCCAAGTTTCATTGACCTGCATAAATCAGACAAAATTTTTCCTTTTTTGGGTCAGTTAGTAATAACTGAATTATTTGTTTGCTTAAAATGGCAATATTTTTATATACATCTCCTTATATGGAATGCAGAAATCTATTTTAACTGTTTATTGGCTTGTTGTTTATTTAACCTGCAATCATTCTGCAACTATATGAATTACTTTCAATAAAATGAATTATGGCGATTTGTACCTTTAGAAGGGTAATGAACTGTATGCAGCAAAACACATGTCAAAACACTTGGAAAACAGTTTTAATGATGTTTACAACAAAAAAAGAACTGTACATTTACAGTAAAAGATTATCTTTGTATGTGTATAAAAACAAAAATACAGCAGACAAATGCATCAAATTCTACTATGTATCCTGATTCACATACTTAAAACTCCTACACCAGCTTTCATTTCTAAACCTCCATGACTGGAAGCCTTTACTTATGCTTCTTTTTTTTTTTTTTTTTTATCTTTTTTTTTGTATTAATATCAGAGCAGTGTCCCTCTCTCAGTGTTGTATTTTATGTGAAAACCAGAACTCTTTACATTAGAGTCCTGGAAAGTAAATCGATCGACTACAGAGTAAGAAACGGAGGAAAATAAAAACAAAAACATTCCTTTAGATCAGCCCAAGCTACCGACGTGAAATGTTTTACAGAAAGCAGTTTTTAAGATACACTGACATAATATGTACATGGTTGGCATCTTTTTTTCTTGTTTTTTTTTTTTTTTGTTTTATTGAAAGCCGTGGTTGCCTGGGCCGGAAAACTGATAATCGCACACATGACACACCCAAAAAAACATACAAAAATACTATATCTTTAACCTACTAAGAGTAAGACAGCTCTGCAATTAGTTCCATGCTGTGACAGAAAATAAAAAAACAGGTTACAACAAATAGACGCTTTTCACGCAAGTTTTTTTTTTTTTTCTCTTTTCAGAAATATACCAAAATATACATCTAAGCTTTGGAATTACTGAGGCTAAGGACTAAAAGCCAGAGCTGGGTTTTGTCTCTTAATACACATGCTGCAGGGCGGGAAGGGCGACACAGACACAGGATAGACAGAGAGAGAAAGACAAAGAGAGAGAGATATCTTTGGTATCTGCGTTTGTCAAAAAGTTTAAATATTTGGATTTTTGCTTTGGGATAGCGCTTGTGAGGCCTGGAAAGCCTCGCCTGGAGTAAAGCCTTCGACAAAAGTGTCACCGAAGCCCCGTCGGTCAGAAGGTCTGGGCCGCTCGGGGACGGACCGTGATGCATAGTGCCACAGAGTCTGTAGAGAGGAGACGATGATAAAGGGAGGGTTTCATGACTACAGGGTGTTTATTCCTGGAGACAATGGGAACAGATCTGGGTGGAGGAGAAGATGAGAGGTTTTTCCACCATAGAAAAGGGAGGACGGAGGCAAAGGTCCTGAGCAAGTACGGCGTGCACAGGATCCACCCTCAGCATGTATTAAAAAACATCACCCAGCTATCGCCACATTGGTTGGTGCCTGTCACAGAGGCCCGCTCAGCCCCCTCCGATCCCCGCCCACAGGCACTGAAACCGCTGCACCGACAGGACGCACATTCACTTCAAAAGAAAAGCAAAACTCCTTACAGTTGAAACGTGTTGGGAAGGGTGACCCGAGGGAAGAAAGGGGGGGAGGAGGTGTGCAGCCTGGATTAGATGCTGAGCAGTGAGGCGGGGATGGGCGAGACGGCGGCGTTGCTCGCGTACAATCAAGTTAGAAGTCTTTGGTTAGTGTTGGTACCACAGGAAACCAAGAGCGGGCCACGACAGAAAGAAACCTGCACATACTTGTACCGGGTCAGAGTGACCTAAAAAAAAATTAAAATCATAAAAAAAGATTGTCAAACTTAAAGAGAAGTGTTCAAACACAAGGACAACTGGTAGAAAAATAACTAAAGTGGCAACAAAGGATTGCAGATTTTGCTTTTAGCTCTGACAAATGCCAGAAAATACAGGTGCATAAGTGGTGAAAACAAAAAACAGCAGATATTCAAAAGCACTGAGTAATCTGCCTCCACCTTGTGGCAGTACAGGTATGCGCAGGCTTCTCCAAGGACTATTTTTTCTTTTTTTTTTTTTTTTTTTTACTTTTAAAAACATTTTTTCTCCTAAATAGATTAAAGCAGGTTTCACTCAGTCTTGAGTTAGAAATGAGGTATACAACAGTTTGTTTTGCCGTACTGGTGGTCCACCATTTTTCCTCCACAGCAAACCGACATAATCAGGCTGAAAATAGTCGCCTGGCTGAACCGCGAGGACGCCTTGAAGTCTCAAGATCACCTACTGACAGTGAAGCACTAAAAGCCAAGAAAACAGCTCATAAGGATAAAAAGTTGACCACAAACCAGGTTTTTCCCCCAAAGCAGGCTGCCAGAAGCTTGTGGCCAAATCAGTAGATGAACTCAGTCCAAAACAAAGTCAGCATTCCTTTACAACAAAACGTTTGATAAAAGAAAAGAAAAATCCCTCAATACACCAGCTGAAAGATGGGGGGGGCGTGGGAATGCACCATAAAGGTGGCAGACAACCCAAACACACACAAAAAGCAACTGAAATTATAAGTAGAGTTTTTCCCATCCTGTCGAGAACAAAAACATCATTCCACTCTTAAAATGCCCCAAAATATCTATCGTTTCAGTGAAATTAGCCCTCGCCACACACAATGCTACAATGCTCAAGTCTTCTACGTAACAGTAAGGCATAAATGATAACGTTAATCCACTCAGTCGACATATGAAAGCCAGTGATCGCATCCTCTCACGGTATACAAAAACAATCAAAGGCATAAAGTTAAAGAAAAATGATTGTTAAAGACATCACAGCAAATCAAATCCACAACAAATTAGATTCTTAGCCTTAATAATAATAATAAAAATAAAGCATTAAGGTCAGATGCTTCAGCGTCTTGAGCTCCGCTAGTCAAAACGGAGGCATCCTCACAGATTTCCTCATATTTTTGGTCAGTTAAAAAAAAAGAAGAGAAAAATCAAAAGCAATAAAAGGTTGTGGGGAGATTTATTCTTTTGAGTTAGCATGATAACCACTACATTCAATCTTGATAACATACTAGTTCAAATATAAAATATGAATATCTTACAAGTGTTTATATATATATTTATATGTATAGAATTAAGAAAAGGTTGTTTCTCTAATTCTTAAGTCTTTCCTCAGATAAATATTTCAGTAACATCCTATGGTGCCAGTCGGTTTGCCATGGTGCAGGGTGAAACATAAACTAGTGGGAAGGGACTGAGCGCCCCCTGCAGGGTGGAGGGGGCCACACATCCAAAAGCTTCAAGAGAAAAAGCTTTTACTTTGGCAAAAGAGTTCTCAAAATAACATTTCAACCTGGAAACATCACTTAAATAGTAGTACTAGAAAATAGCAGTAGTAGTAGTAGGTTGTCCTTTAATGCTATGGTTCCTATGAACGGTATAACCTCTGAATGGCAAAGCCAGACAGTACTTATACATTCTACACCCAGAAATGTCTAAAGGTTAACCTATATTGAAGTGCTGCTGAGGTATATTTAGTCACAATTATTTAAAAAAAGAGGAGGAGGAGGACTGTGTGGACAGATTTCACAAAAATAATGGATACAGGATTCAAAGTCATCATTTGGATTAAAGTCCAATGCTACTTTTCTGTAGGATTTGACTAAATGTGTCTGCAGATGAGACGATACAAAGAGGTGGCGCTAAGAAGATGAAGAGTGCTTTCCGATGATCAGATTGATGCATTTACAGAGGTGAGCCCTCCTGGCAGGAGGGTGGAGACTACTGAACCCTGATTTCCACAGGGTGTAGTCATAAAGCTATAAAGGAGGCATGTGGGCCCCTCGACAGCTCGGCTTCCCGTCGGGAGCTCCAGCAGCAAGTTGTTAAAGCTATGTTTCTGTGATCTGAATCCAGCAGCACCAAATCGGGGAGAATCTGGCAAACTACTTGCAGGGGGTGGAGGGATAGTAGAAACCTTATGAATAACAACATGCGTGCGCCGACAGGCACAGCAGTTGCTGAGTAAAACTGCTTTGGTTCGAGCTGTTGTTTTATGGCTGAATATTAGCACTACAACAACAAAAAGGAAATAAATCCATTAGGCATGGGCTGGTTTGCTGTATCAAATTATACCAGGGTTTTAAAAAGCTGCAACTTTAAAATAAGCTAGATTGCAGTTCCTACCTCGAAAATCCGCTTTGTGAAATCTTTTAGGAACCATAGGTACCACTGCTCCAAATGCTGCTGTGCATTGCTGGTCAGCTGGCCAAATGAAGGCAGCGAAACCTCTCTTACTTACAACACATAAAAAATAGGCATCTCTTTGCAAATATTTCCAGCCTCCAAAACCTTAATTTCCAGTAAAGGTTACAATGTTAAAATGACAATCAGTCATGCTGTTAGATAACAAAAGATTAGCAATTTGATCGAGATTCATGTTTTTTTATCTATTTTTTCTTAATAACGTAAAGATTGTACCAGCCCATGCCTACTTTATACTATGGTTTCCAAAGAACGTCAAAAAATGCTACCAGAACAGATTAGAAAAGGAAGCAAGCCTTCAAATGGCTCTAAAAAATTATAAAAAAAAAAATTGAGGGCAAGGCCCAGGTGGTAAAAATAAACGGTTTTGTAAAAAAAAAAAAAAAAATTCTAACAACCAAACCCCTCCCATCCCTCTCATTTGTTGGCGAGTAGTGCTGCCAATTTAGAAAAAAAAAAAAGTTATCTTTGGAAAATGGTAATCAAAATATTGCATTTTTATATTCTGTTGACAATGAAGAGAGATTCTGTACTCATAAATATATCGACTAGACTAAGCTACACTGACTACACACAGCGACTATTTTAACAAATATTTTTGGTATATCTTAAAGTACGTATTCATTCCTCCCAAAAACAGGCAGACTGCAGCTCATCAATCCAGTTTTTTTGGTACAGATACTGTGCACAATTCCATTATAGTACTACTATTGAAAAGAAAAAAGACTCACGATAAACTAACCCCAATGAGCCAGTACCACCAGCACTAGTCCTCCTAAAGAAAAACACACAGCCAGAAACTGATCTGAACAATCTGCAGAAGTACATTGCAACCCGAACCATCTCAGTCAGAGGTGAGGCTCCAGCCTGCTCTCTATAAAGCTCTTCACACAATATTTTGAGCTATTTTCCGTCCATGTCAACAATCCACAACTAGATCCTTGTTTTAAAAAAGCTTGAAGGCGTCTTGGTCGCCATAGCGACGCGTAAAACTCAGTGTTTCCAGAGAAGAGATGCAGAGAGACCCGCCCAGTCACCTCCGACCCTTAAAGCAACGATAACCTTTAAATCGGCCACTTATTACTTATTTTTAAAGCCTTATAACCATGATTAAAAAGTGATAGGTGAATATTAAAATAATCAAGAATAATAATTAGAACTATAAAGATCTCAATTTGAAAAAAAAGGACATAAAGCAAAAGGGAAGAAACAAAAAGTTAAACTTTGATATGATTAAAGTTAAAGCCTGTCAATGAAGAAAAAATAAAAGTTAAAGACAAAGTGATGCACAAACCCTAGTTAGTCATGATAAACATTGTGAAATTAGTAAAAAACATTCTAGTTTAAATGTTAAACTGGAAAACATTTTTGTTTTTTGGTTAAAAGCATCACAATTGACTCTGAACTGGAGATAGAAGAGAATATGTACATCATAGAGATGGTGGCGAGTTTTTGTCCCTCCTGGACTGGAGGGCTCAGGCCAACATGAGAGTTTGTGAAACAAAATGTTAAAAAGGAGAGAAAACAAAAACTAGGCCCAATTACATTGGATGTCGTTTTCATTTTGGTGGCAGCAAATAGATTTAATAATGTTCTAGTTCTAATCAGAAAAGTGTGGAGCGGGTAGTGAAGCCTGCGTATTCAACGACCGTCTTATTCCCTATCCCGCACGGCGTGATGGGAGCAGTGCTCGTGACGGGAAACGTGGGCCTCAAAACCCGGGCTTCACTGAGCCTTGGAGGCAGTGGTAATGGTCGAGGCTTGCACAGGCACGGCAGCGGTGGTGGCCTGGTGGTGGGCGTCGGTGGTGACCTGCAGCCCGCCCGTCCCCGCCGACACCAGGCTTACGGGGTTGCTGGTGAGCAGCGACAGGTTCTGGGGGTTAAGGAAGAGCGGCGTTGTCACCAGGTTGGGTGTGTTGGAGCCAGAGGTGTTAGCGAACAGCAGGTTGCCGCCTTCCAGGGATGTGATGGGGATAGAGCCGCCTGATGCCAATGCTGCAGAGGAGACATGAGGATCAGTTTCTTTAAACATTAAATCTTCCTCAATAATTAATTAGGAAGCAGGAAATTGGATACATTACACCAACAATTCAAGCCTCTATTTTAGCTCACTTTGATTATAATGGTTTACTGCTGATGGAACCCAACTTCCAATATTTACGGAAATTGAGTGGAAGGAATCTTTGGTATGTGCTTTAAGAACCTTAACTCTTCATTTTTTTGCTAAGGAAACCCTTAGCCGAGAATAAGCACCTGCTGTTAAATGAGCCAAAACAAGTATTACGTTAATATAAGGTAATTCATTTATTTCCCCATCAACATCTATTTTTATTTGCCTTCTATTATATCTGCTTCTATATTTAGCTTTTGACCTTATTTACTAACATGCTGCGTGAATTGTAAGCACGTTTTCATCTAGTTTTTACATAGTCTTCATTTTAAAACCCAACAAATCAAATGAAAATTGTTTTATCACAGCTAAAGAATTATTACTGATCTTGCTTTTCTACAACTAAAATGAGATCTGATCGGATTTTCTCTCCCTCCTGTATTTAGTCATTTATAAAAATTGGAAATGACTCTGATCATTGTCATTATAATTAGGGTTTAGTTTATTTCTTTATGCATCAAAAAAGACAGCTGACGAATTATTCTCTTTGTATTTCAGTCAGTGAAATAAAACAGAAAAGATGCGCATGTTAAGAAAACACAATCTGTGTTAAACAAAAAAAAAACAAAAAAAAAAAACAGAATCTGCAGATTTTTCTAGTTATCAACCATCAGCAGGACATTTGTTTCTCTATTTGGATGAACAGAAATTAAATGCATTGTTTAAAACTATGTTCTAATTATGCAAATCATGTGTCCTCATTCAGCGACTGCTAAGCGTACAGCTACTAATTATCCTGAGGACCTTTAGTAATAAGGTTTGGAATTATCCTTATGTGCTTTTAATTAAAGCACCCATTTGTTTTAGAGTGACTCATTTATCCAAACCTTATTAGGATTATCTGATCTCTGCAGTTGGATTTAGCTCTCTATATGCAGGGAGCTTTTCAAAGACTGAAACACCTGCTGGTGCATGATGAATAATAAATTAGCTTAACAATAAACTTCACTTTACAGCTTTTTTCTTGGCTTCAAGACTTAATTAGATCTGCTTCAAAATCTGCAATGCTTAGTTTCATCCTCCACCAGAGAGATTGTTTTATGATAGCATTATTTTGATTAGGAGCCAATTCTCTAAGTCATTTTTTTGTTTTGTTTTGTTTTTTCTTTTTTTTTCTTAACCTTTCTTAAGAAACCCTTTAAAACCCTCAATGTATGAGGGTATAGAAAAATAAAGATGAACTAACGACCCTTTTCATTAGATTCTTGCAGTGAATTAAGCCCCAAAGGATTAACGATTTCAAAAATAGCTTTTAAGGTTGCAAATCAAATATGGAGGATGTTATCTAAATTTAAATTTTGAGAAATTCTGATGTGCAGACATAAAGGCAACACCAGCAGAATGTTGCCATCAGTTCGATTGGATCCATCCATGGTTGAGGATGCAACTTCTTACCTAGAGTATAAAGAGGGTGTTTTACTGGATGGTGATGCTAGCACACACCTTGAATTGTAGCCAGAGTGTTGTTATTCATAACAGCTGGACTCAACGTACTGCCGAGGCCACCAGGAGTCAGACTAAGAAGGGCGCCCCTGAAGACAGACACAATTATCAAGTCAAATTCCCACAAAAAACTGAGCAAAATACAGATTAATCAAGAGGTCTGATTATACCAACCCTGGAGTGAACTGTGATGACGCCATGAGTCCTGGGTTAAGGCCTGCAGCTGCAGCCATGGCTGCAAAGCTTGCACTGGTGGGCAGCGCTGCGGTGAGCCCCGGAGCTGCCAGCATCACCTGGCCTGTCGCTAGAGACGTAGCTATGGACGTCGGAGTGTGCGAGACCAGCGTCTGGATCCCGGCTTTGCTGTCTATGGATGGGGACTGAACAGTGGTCGTGGATGGGCTTATAGATGGAGCGCTGGTTGATGTAGTAAGTACAGGTGTGGTGGAAATGACAGATGCAGTGTTTGTGGCTCCAACTGTTGTGCCTTAAGGACAGAAAAGAAAGGGAGAAATGTAATTTCTTCACATTACATAAAAATAAGCCATTTAAAGCAGAAATGTTTTTAAAACAACTCTAAAGCTTCCTCCCCATTTGAAATGCTTATATAAATATGCAAATTGGTTCCAACTAAACCTCCAGCATTCGCCTTCAGCTGTTTCCTATTGAACTAAAAGAACCACACGAAGCTCCACAACAGGATAACAGAGCCATGAAAACCAACACCCAAAAAATAACCTAAAACATCTGTGATATCAGGCTTAAACAACTAAACAATGAATACAAGATGAATTATTTTAGTCATTAATTGGTAGTAATAATAAAGGAATAAGCAGACATACATCAGCTGCAGGCATGCAGACACAGAAGGTATTTGCATATTTATAAGTCTGTGTGTGCCGACTGACACACAGCTGTAGATTTGCAGATATGGTATTTTGATGCAAAGCTTGTTTTTATATATAAAAAAAACAACAACAAAAAAACCCAACAAAGCTTGGATTAATAAATGCTATTCAAGGCTTCAGGAAAGTCATTGGGATAAATTGACATCTAGGAGTGGGCCAATGTTTCACCTGTGAAAGCCAAACTGGAGACACTGGTGCTGGTGAGAGGCATCATTGGGTTTACAGTCAGGGTGGCGGATGTGTTAATAGTTGGACTGCTAACAAGGCTTGCTGTGCTCGCCACCTGGGGAGGAAAGGATGAGGGAGAACTGAGTCAGCTTCTCTCTGCCTAAAGGTGTCATCATCAGGTAATCCGACATTTTCAGGCTTAAATGTGTGAGCTGGTGTTAGGCCTCAGTTAAAAAATTTTTTTTCTTAGTGTAAACCTGCAAAGCCCACATGTGCACGATCTCCACAGAGCTCAATTTTAGTCAGCCTCCTTGATTTATATAATCCTCTGAAAAGTGTGATTTGCTATCACCCGTCTCTATTCTACCAAAAGGAGGAATTCCAACATTCGCCTGCAGTCGTTACATGATGCTGCTTGCATTATTTTTCACTTTAGGTGAGAGTAGGTGAACAGGGAATTATGCAAAATCATGAAAAATTGCTAATGTTGCTAACGTTATATTCACATGAATGCACATACAAGCAGGTCAAATTCTTAAGCATTTCCTCATAACAATATTGATACCGATATTTAGGAGTCAATATAGGTTTTATTTGTATATGCTGCCAGTATGCAATGTTTGGAAATATCATCCATACGTTATGGATGCTAACGTATCGTGCGTAAAGAGAAAGATGTCTGTTTTTATTTAGGATCAACGTAACTGGATCTTTAATCCTTTAATAATTGGATTTGTGGATTGATTAATTGTAACATCCGCCTGGTTAGTAGATCAGCTCTGCTTGCGCTACCGGTTTAATATCAGGCCTTAAATGTGAAAGATCAGTTTAGCTGGAAAACATTTAACACAGCACAAAAAATGTTTTAGTATGATGGTGTGTAGTTACCAAAGGGCTGCTAGGGGTAAAGATGGTTTTAATGGAGGTGCTACCTCCTCCATTATTGACACTGCTGGGCGGGTTTATCCGCTTCTCCTTCTGTCGGCGATTGCAGAACCAGACCCGGATCACCTCCTTCTCCATGTTGAGCTGGTCGGCGATCATGCTGATCTCCTCAGAGGTAGGTTTTTGGTTCTGCTTGAAGAGGGCAAAGTAGCCAGGGATTCCCTGTCAGCACTGAGGAAACTATTGCACTGTATTATCAAAAACCTAACTAACGCCTCACGATTAGTGAAATTAAACATTTTCAGTTAAAGATAAATTTATATATTTATATATATATATATAAAAAACCCCAACAAAATAAGATTCTCACCTCCAGAAAGCTCTTTTCTAAGGCCACTCGAATGTTGGTCTCGATACTGGTCCTCTTCTTCCGTCTGCGGTTGATGCCCTCTATGCCCATGCCCGGGGAACCCAGCGCACTGGGGCTGGACAAGGACTGGTCAGATGACAGGTTCTCTGCACAAACAGCACAGACACAAAGAGAGGAGAGAGAGGTAAAGTAGATCATACAACACCCACACCCTCTGAAACTTGTGTCTACATGTAAACAGAGCTACATACAGTGCCTTGGACGTTTTATACCGAAACGACAAAATTGATTTTTTTAGGGATGCAACTAACAATTATTTTGCAAATCTATTACTAAATTATTTGACAATTATTTAAATATTAATTAATCATGATTAATTTGATTAATTGTTTCAGCCCTTGATCTTTATTGAGGTCAAGTATGACAACTAACACTTAGTTGTGCATCAATGAAGAGGGAGGAAGTTCCACTTGTGTTTCTTTGAAACAAAACAATATTAATATTGACACCCCAGAGTCAATACCTTGTAGGAGACAGAGTGGACCAAAATGTCTGATCTCAGCCCCTTTTTCTATGTCTGTTTATTCCAAAAAAGTTAAAAACAAACTACTGGACTTTGTTTTCCAAGTTTGAAGACGTTTCAGTTCCCATCCAGGAATCCTTTTTAATAAAAAATGTCAAAATTTGTGTCAAGTCCCACAAACCAAGCCTTGTTTTGGTTTAGAAAACATGCAAATTGAACTGGAAGAAAGGGTCCGCCCATTAGGAATGGGGAGTCGTTGAATTCTTTGTTAGCCTACAATACCCAATATGGGTCTATGCCTCTGAAATGGGGAGTCGTTAGGAGCATTGATGGACTGGCTGACCAGGCGAGTTGTCTTGCTCCCCTGCATGAGGATTATGGCAACGGGGAGGAATCAACTCTATCGCTACGTTATAGGTTTTGAGAGCTGGAATCTGAGTCCACGCCCTCTGTTTAAGGTTGGCTTTTCTCTCTTAACACTCCCCTTTCAAACCACATGTATTCTTTGTCAAAAATGTAAACATTCTGGTCCTCAAAAGAATGTCCTTTGTCAAAAAGGTGTAGAAGTACAGCAGTCTTCTCAGGAGGAGGCAACTCTCCTGTGTTGAGCCATGTGCCTTTGGAGAGGTTGTTAGGTTTCTCCAATAAAAAGATTAGAGCATTCCTTACTGCACTGAACTGCATACACCACTCCGTTCATCATAGGTTGTGTCTTTAGGATGCACTTGCCTCTGTTAAAAGGTCTTGCTTGGTTTGAAAAGAATCCCCATTTCTAAGAGGCAGAACCATACGTCCGGTTCAGTTTACATATTTTTTAAAGCCAAAACAAGGCTTTGTTTGGGCTACATTATAAAGCTTGGAACTCAATGGTAATTACCACATTTTGAATAAAAAAACATCTTCAAACTTCAAACAAAGTCCAGTGGATTGTTTTTTAAATTCTTTGGAATGACTGTGACCTGGATGACTGAGAATCTTCATCAGCAAATGTCTGTTTATCTCTTTCATGGTCTGTGGTTAACTTCAAACTGGACTTCTGGTTTCTGCCAATACTGTTTTTTTATTCCCCCACTTGTTTTTTCATAAAGATTGGATTTGTGATGTCCTGTTAACTAATATTCCCACTTGAGCTGTGGATGTCTGCAGCTCCTATTGGATTTAATTTAGTGGTATATGTGTAAAGAGATTCCAAAGGTCAGCTGGAAATTCTGCAATCATTGTGGTCCACCATAGAGAATCCCCTTAAATACATTGTTATGTGGTTGCCATTGTTATGTTATGCCACAAAAATTGAAAAATTTCAAGTGTGAATTATTTTCATGGCACTGCATGTAAAAACTCAGGTCCATTTTCTTTACCAAACATTCCTCAACCAGACGCACATGGCTGAAGTAGCTCCTCGGTGTGGCATGGAGTTCTTCAAAATGCTGCTCATAAGCCATTTATTTCATTCAGGAGTATTAGAAACACCAACCAATCTGCCTTGGATCAAACTTAAGTAAACAATCTGGTTGACCAGGTGGGTTTAGGGACAAACCTGCATCATTAAGCCACTTCTCCAGCAAAGGCTTGAGTTTGCACATGTTCTTAAAGCTCAGATTCAAGGCCTCAAAGCGAGAGATGGTCGTTTGGCTGAAATCATTTCCATAGAGCTTCCCCATAGCTAGGCCAACATCACCCTGCAGGTTGGGGGTAGACAAAGACAGAGAAATATGAGAGCTATAAATTATTAACGGTCTTCTAGTCTCCTGGCTCTGATTAGAAACATAAAAACTAATCTCTATTCATCAAAATGACATCATAAAAAAGTATTTTTTGGGGGGCATTTCATAAAAATATTCCCGGCAGACCTTAAAACGGCCAAGATGTGACTTTCACACATTTCCCTCATTTAAAAAGCATGAATCTATAAGTATGCAGACTGATCCTCGCCTACATTCCATCTGCTGGCCTGCAGCTTCTAGACCTCAGCTTGGCTCAAAAGCAGAAAAACTAATTATGCTACAAGACAGGAAGAAGTCATTTAGAGAAAACTCATTCCGGGTTTAGTTTTATTATCTGTAAATTTCTCAAATCATGAAACAACACAAAGCTTAAAGCAGCCTCGCATTGGACAGAATATTAAAGGGCTATTTCACTTTACCCCTCCTTTTTTCTGGCGTCTGGTCTCATTCCAATAAAACTCTAAATAAAACAATGTAGCTAGAAAATTGATCAAATATGGACAAAATTATTCTACAGCCAATAAAAGTCTATTTAAAGTACAGCTTGTGATCTTTGAATGAATGAATGAATAAGCTAGGTTTGAACAGGTACACCAGCGGTCTTCAACTCAACCCTCTCAGAGCAGAAGTCCTGCAACCTTTAATATATGATTTGCCCCTGTACCTAAATCAAATACGTAGACAACTGGGTATTTAAGTCAGGGGTTTTGAAGCAGAGACGAATTTATAAGTTGCAGGACACTGAACCCAAGACCAGTGAAATATATACATTATGATGTGCAAAGCCAGTCCTTTTAAAGATAAATCAATGTAAAAATCATTTTGTTATCTGAAATATTTAGGCTTCTTTCACAGGACAGTATAAGGGCTAAATAAAAAAAACTTGAAAACATTTTACCTTGCATAATTGTGTTATTTTCCCACACTTATGCGATAAAAAAATGAAAAGGCTTGTTTTCTACTTTTCCCAACCTTTACGCACTACATAGAAGTAAGAGCCTTGATCGCAACAGTCAGGTGAAAAGATTCAAAACATAAAACAACCAAATCTGAACCTGCGGTATACCTGTGTGAAACCCAGTTTGATTCGTCGCTGTTTGAACGTTTTTGCAAACTGCTCCAGCTCCTCAAGGTCACTGGGCTCCTCCATGGTGGGGGTGTCCAACCGCTTGGGCGGTGTCTGACTGTGGGGCAGGCTCTTGATGTTTGTAGATGGTGTTGTACAGGTTGGAGAAGCAGGCTGAAGATGAAATATAACACATGATTTATCAAATCGGTTCTAACATGTAACATTTATAACTGACATAAAGAGTAAAAAAAAAAAGTTTGATTTGTTCGAACCCCTTAAGTTTGTATGAAGAAAGTGGCTACAAACCTTAGTAGCAAGGGTGATGCTTGGTTGAGTCGAATGGAGGTTAGCTTGGCTTTGAGGTAGTTGAGTTAAAAGACTCTGGGCTGGCAATATACCTGTAGAGTTATATACAACAGGATAGTTGGAACAAAAACCTGTTCAATATCCTTCAAATATTTCCATTTTAAATTCTCCAAGAAAATCTACTTGCCTTGTTGGCCCGACGACGTCTGCGAGATGATGTACTGAGCGGGCTGTAAGGGTGTTGCAATTGGGTGGCCAGGCTGAACCAGGACAAACTGAGGCAGGGTTAGATTCTGCGGTAGCTGCTTAGTTGAAAAATATAAAATTAGGCAACAGTTTGCACCCACGTTTGGGCTCAATGTGAGTCAATGATGGCAGCTTACAGGGGCGATCTGGATGGGCTGTGACAGGGGCAGCTGGGTAATCGGTGTGACTGCGGTGGCCGAGATGTTGGCTCCAGTGTTGCTGTTCTGCTGGCTGGCTGAATGCTGCTGCTGCTGCTGCACGGCTGCAGCCAGCAGATGAGCCTGGGCCTGCTGGAGCAGCAGCTGCTGTGCTGGGCTCAGGGTCAACTGAAGGAAAACACAGACAGAAGACGTTAGATAAGAGCTGATGGAAAACCTGAAGTAGTAGCTAATTTGCTCTGAATCTAAGGATATATTACACAGATTGTAAAGAAAGTGCTCCACTGTATCAGTTTTTACATTAAAAAAAGTCTGTTATTCTTGAAAGTAATCTGGATTTTTTTTTTTTATCAAGAATTGGTTAACTAATGATGCCAACAGCAACTTCAGTGATGCTGATGAAACAGAATCACAGGTTGTGTTGGTTTGTGGGCCTTGCAAAAGCATTTACAACCCCGGAGTACTTCTCAGCTTGTTCTGGTGTCAGCCATGTGTCGTGTTGACGCTCATATTCAGTGGAGTCAAAAAGCGGATCAGATTATGTGAGTTAAAAATGAAAGAGTGGGGAAGAAGAACATTGAAATAAAACCTTCCTTTATGTTTGGTTTAAGCCAGGGGGGACTCAACAAATCTGTGGAAATGAGGCTTTGGTCAGATGAGACTAAACTGTACTAGAGTTGGAACAGTTAATCAGATTAATTTTGATTTGATTGAAATAATCGCCAACTAATTTAGTAATCGATTAATCATTAACTGAAGTATAGAGACAAAAACATGTCTTTAGCTGACAGAGGAACACACTTAGAGGAGTAAGTATACCAAAAAATATATAAACATTTTGCATTTAAGAAAAAAAAAGTTTTCTCCTGTCAATTTGCTCTATCCAGAACTCCTCTAGTGGAATTTTGTAAAAAAAAAAATCTTCTACAAGGAACCTTTGGCTATACAATAATTAATCGAATAATTGAAGAAGTTATCGACAGATTAATCAATTTGCAAAATAATCATTGGTCTCAGCCCTAAAATTGACCTTTCTACCCTTTATGCAAAATATTACTCGTGGTTTAAAACTCCCCGTTTCCATAATAATGCATATTGTTGGTAGCATCAGGCTGTGGTGATGTTATTAAAGGATTATTGTTTTAAAAGGGAGAGTACCTTGTTCATAGAGCTTGTTTGGATCAAAGTTTGGATAAATTTGGACCAAAGTCCAGAACTGAATCAAATTGAGAATATAAGGAAAGCTTTAAACATGAATGCTTATAGATGTTTTCTATTCAATGTAACTAAGCTTGAACTAATTTTAAAAGAATGGACACAAATTTCACTCTGTGTAAGGGCAAGGTTTGGAGGGAAAAAAACAAAAGACCAATAAGTCCTTCTGCTGAACATCTTGTGGTTGCAACCAGAAGGAACTTCCTCAAAGACAGACTCTGGGGAACAGGGCTTAACTGCACACACATTGTTCAAGACTACGACAATCAGCTTGATTAAAAACATTTATATCTGGTTGAAAATTTGATTAGTCTCAAGTGCTTCAAGTGTTATAAATACTTTGCAAGGCACAGAATCAGATGAAAATTAAATTTGTAGGAGTTAAATGCAGAATTGAACTTTTCCCACAGATATCAAAGACTAATGAAAACTTCAGAGGTATTGTAAACACAAATATGAGCCAATAGAGGCAAAAAGAAAAAGGACCCGTGCAGCGGAGCCAAGCAAAAGAGCGAGTGAGATTGTTGATGTTAAACACATAACTACATGCACAGTAAACATTCACTCCTGCATTGCACAGCAGCAGCAGGTGAACCAGCCATTTGATCCCCTCAAGGCTTTGGGAAAGTGGTGGAAATGAAATGTATGGCATGGTCTTTTTATATTTTCTGTCATGGAGAGGTTTGAACATACACTAACAACCACAGAAATGAGCAGGCAGGCAGGCAGATGAGGCCAGAACTTATCAGGGGAAGCTATCATTTCATCACGTATTGTTTCCGAGCAGAATTGATCGTATTGAGGTGTAATCAAGGGGATGCATGGAAGGACAAGGTCGTGACCAAGAACAACGGAGCCACTTACTCCAGCAATCTGTCCCCCTGCCAACATTAGCTGGGTCTGAGGCAATACGCTCTGCTGGACGGAGGCAGGAAGAGCACCAGAGTCTTCCGACTTAGACTGGTGGAAGTTAAGCGGAGAACAGAACTTAATTTGATGTCTTTCAAGTCAAAATCATAAAAGTATGAAGAAGACACTGATGCTTATAATTAAATACTTAGAAATAAAGCACTGAGCTATATAAAACAAATGCCTTAAAAAAAATGTAACAGAAATCTAATTTCTCTGCTACCCGAGCAGCTTAGTCAGAATGCACCTTTTCGTATTTAAGCAGTGAGAGGAATTAAAATTAAGGCAGCGATAAAAGTGGGAATTGAAAATGTGTCGCAGCCTTCAGAGACTGGAAAAAGTGAAGTGAAGGGAGGAGAGAGCAGAGATGCTAATTAAAATAACTGTTATGCAGCGCATGTAAATTCTGCATAGATTTGCATATTTTCTACCATCTGTTTCCGAGCAACCGCAGAGCAGCTAATTAGCATACATGGTTGATTAATCTGCCTTGTTGCCAGGCGACACCCAGAAAGCCTGGCTCATTTAAATGAACTCTCTTTGCTTGCAAATGTTGTGCTGATGAGCGAACCTCCCCTGGAACTTCATCTTTCATTTTTTTTGTGCAAGTACTTTTATGAATATTTAAAGCAATAGTTATTACAATGAAAACATCTACTGTAACACATCTGCTCTTTGGAAAAAAAACAAAAAACAAAAAAAAAACCCCAAACATTTAAAGGTTAAAGTATGTGCTGCAGCTCATGCAAGCAGGCCTGATGTGTTACCTGTTGGAGGAGCGCTTGTGCATGTGCGTTAGAGATTGTGGTCGGCACAGACTGCCGCTGAAAGTCCAGTCCATTTGTTTGGACTCCTAAAGGAAAGAAAGACAGACAGTCAGACACATTTTCTAACCAGTGAATGAACTGAAAAAGCAAGAAAACAACAATCTGCAAAACAAAAATCTTCAAAGAAAAGAGGAACACAAAAAATACTTGCAGGTGGAAGGAAACCATTCTTTAAATGCATATGAAACAGCTGCATATTACTGATTATGTGCTTTAGTGTTTGCATTTGTGGCCTGCATAAGAATATGAATAACAATGCAAATTCAAACAGTGCATCTTCAATATCTAATGTGATGTCACATAGCAGTATCAAAACGTCGCTAAAGCATTAATTTAAAAAAATAAAGAGAAATTCAATTAAATTAAGATCTTTTTTGAATGCTGGTGATTAAGATGTGTTTACAGAGCCCAAAAGGATGGCTTGTGCTGCAAAATTTCTATAATAATATTTGGATCTGATAACGAAACCTGTTGAATGAGCTGGTAAGACTTTAAAAATGTATATCTGACCGTGCAAAAAAAAAAAAAAAAAAAAGTTTGATTAAAATGAAATAAACTTAAAAACAAGAAAAAATGGCTGATCGATACTGACCGGTGTTCCCGTCACCACTTTCCATTTCACATTTAGTAGTTTCTGACTGATTATTCACTTTAGCATCTGAAAGAACCAGACAGAGACATAATGAGATACTCTCATATATCAACTGGTGCTAAAATATAATTCCCTCCCTGCATTTAAGTGTCCAAAAGTATTTCACATTCACAAAAAAAGACTGATGAAGAAACAAGTTGATGTTACAATCACGTTAAATAAATCCTAAGATTTGCATGTAAACATTCCAGATTATCCTTTTTGAATGTTTAGCAAAGTGTCCTGCCAATAGTTAGAACCCAGCAAAGCCCCCTCACAGCCTTAAAAAAAAAAAACTCACCGGCTCTAGTTCCACCTGTGCTTTCCTGCATGTTTGCTGGACCTGTCACGTAAAACCGCTTCGACTGGGCAACCCCACCGACAGGATGTCCAGAGTCTACTCCTTGCTCCTACCCGCACCCCCCCCCCCTCTCTTGTTTTCACTCTCCACTGGTCAGCAGCGAGCACACAGAGACACAGGGACACCGTGGCAGTCTCTACAACACGGTCTGCTGAGCAACACTGGGAAACGCACACTGGGGAAGCCAACAGGGTTTAGGCAAACAGCTCTCCTTGCTTCTCTCTTTTCTTTTCTTATGGCTCTGCCCCCTTCCTCTAGCACTCCCTCTCTGCTGCTGAGATCGGCTCTACTCTGAAAAACTTCTCTCTCTCGTGCTTTTGCTGGAATGAAACAAACGACAAGTGCAGCTGGCGGCCTCCTTCAACACTGCCATCCCACCCCTCCTCCTCCATCCAACTCTATAATGAAGCATAATCAGTATTCAGCTGATTAAAGCCGTATGCAAATCTGTTCCTGCCTCGTTAGTGATGCAAGGCTTTGAAGTCCTGCGAGCAACGCATTTCACACCGGGCTCTGAAAGCTTTCTGCATAATTTAAACCCCTATAAATATTTATCAGCTCATTAGCATATTAATTGGATGGCTTTTGGAGGACGATAAAAAACAGGGGAATAAGGACGACAGAGAGGGAGGGGGGTTGGAAAGTGCTCAAACTAGCACTTGGCGCAGAGCAAGGCAGGGAGGCAGCAGCACAAGACCAATTACTGTGTGAGCGCTGGCCTAAAAAGTAATTAGCTAAGAGCAGGTAAAGGAGCTGGAGATATCCCAGAATGCAACGTAAGGGCTGGCAGCAGTGATTTTGTAGGGTTAGCTTGATGAACTGCTTCAATGGTGTGCTTGTGACTGTTCGTTCAGAACATCTCCAGGAGCCGTGGAGACTGGGCCGGGCTGCTTCAAAGGGAGGAGGTCTGGGTTTTGTGTGGGAGGAGGGAAGACGGAGAAGGAGAGGGGTGGGGGGGCTTGAGTTGAACTCGCTCAATCGGAAATAAATAACTCCACATTAATCCACCAGCAGCTTGTCATTACTGTGAGAACCCCTGCGGCGAAAACATTCCAAAGCGAATGACTTCAGAAAGTGGGTGGCGGGCCGCTGACGTCTATGTTTATGAAGTGTTTGGGGGATTAACATATTTAGATTAGCTTTACATTCCATTAGTGTTTCGTTTTGGGGGCCCCTTTTAAAATTCATTCGGAGCAAATGCTTAGAGTTAATGCGGCAGGGAACAACCCAGTTATGGAGCTGCACAGGTGTCCAACCAATCGCAGTGGAATGCAACGCTGTATTTGGGTCTTCTGGGGAAGGGGCTTACTGACTAAATCCACAACAACTGGTCCTGGCTTAAGGCTTAATCAACCTCTCCATTTATCCTGCTGCCTGACCAAAGGCATTTATAAATATTAGCCGACCAACACAGATAACCCTGCTAACAACATAAACAACTAATAAACAGCTGATCTTTCCTTACTTTCTGCCACTACATCTAAAAAAACACAGCTGGGCAATTCATTGCATTTGCAATACAATCTTAATTTAGCTAAACGCAATTTTCAAATCACAGAGGCACTATATTTTGGTGATATTACATTTAACAAGAATAAGTAGCTACATTTCTCCTTCCAACCCTATAGATGGCAATAATATGCTTCAAGTGGGTTTGCAACGACACAGACGGGAAGAGAGATGAAGGAGGTTTGCAGATTCATGCCTGCAAGCATTGATGGAAAGTAACAAAATACATTTACTTGGTTACTGTACTTAAGGACTAATTTGAGTATCTTTAGTTAAGAGATTTTATTGGGGAGAAACCCATAACTTTCCTTCCAATACATTACGAGGAACCTGCTAGTTACTCATTCCTTCTGGCTCAGCTTAGCTTTGTAATCCGCTGTTGCTGTTTTTCTTTCTGAAATGCAATTTCAACATGGACACCACTGTTTTAGAGATTTGCATGGCATTCAAAAACTGTGAGAATCTAAAGGCTGATCTTATTTGTAGTCTGTCCATATTATTAAGGAGTTATTTGTGGCCATGAGGCCAAGATGTTCAGTAGGGCGAATTATAGTTTCTTTGTGGTAATAGATTCAATGTTAAACCACTATGCCACATTGAATGTGTGTTATTTTTATATGAGAAATAATCAAAATAGCTGTCCTTATTTTTTTCCCCATTCTTATGCTGAAGTTCATTACAGGTTGGTGTAGAAGCTTTAGCAGGTATTTCTACGCATTATTAAATCAAGGGATTTCTGAAAGTTACAAGGTTCTTTAAAATCACTCTGAAAATTATGCAGACATATACTGATATTAGAAAATGTTAATTGTATTTTTGAATACCTAAGTACTTTTAAATGCAGGTACTTTTAAATAATTGAGTATTTTTAAAAGTGATTACTTCAATACTTTCACTTGAGCAGGTTTTTAACTGAGAAACTTTCACATGTAGTTGAATAAGATTCGAGTATTAATACTTTTACTCAAGTACTACTGTTGAGTACTTCGACTACCACTGACTGCAAGTAGAAGTTAGAACTTTTTCCACAAAAGATTGGTTAAGTCACCCAACAATGGACTCTGGACAAGCAAGCTTTCAACATCATGAAAAATCCTAAACCCTTTAGTAAAACATTTATACGATTGTGGTTAGTGAAAAGGAAAGTAATAAATCACAATATTGGTTCAAAAATAATCGCAATATTCCATTTTGGGCTATTTTAACCCCACTTAACCCTAACCCACCTTCTCGTTTTATCCTACTATTACCTACTACGTCATGGGCTAAAAATAGAGGTACCTCAAGAAAAAAAATTTGTGAAATTAAATACCTAGAAGAAAATAACTACCGGTACCTAAACTTATTTTTTCAGATCAAATTTCCAACAATTTTACTCCTAGAATAAAGCATTTTTCTTTTTCTTCTATGAATATGCCAAATTTCATATCTTGAGGTTTGTCAGGATTCGAACTAGAGATGCACAGTGCATGTAAAAATAATTGTCATCCCAGTCCTTATCTGCACCATCACAGAGGATCACTAGGATGCAACATTATGCAGTTTTCAATTTATAGTTTCATACATGCCAAATATGTAGTCTTAATGTAAATTTAGACTGTTTGCTAAACTCACACTGCTCTCAGAGCCCACATTTAATTAATATTTTCTAGCAGCTAAGACAAGTGGCTCAGGAAATGTGATCATCAATTATTCGATTACATTGCCGCAGGCAGAGTTTAGCGAAATCAACTCAAGTTAAATGTTTTCTTGATGTCTCCCATCCTAGCTGGAATCTAAAAAATAAACTTTCTGACACTTCCTTTACCCAAACTTCAATGGTTTTTCAGGTTGGAGGAACTTTTTGTCCTACCTATTTAACACAGTATATGCCTTAAACTAATAAGCAGTCTAATTTGTGGAACGCTTTCCTGCTAGACATAAAGATTTGATTTTTTTTGGATAAAATAGCAAAACTTTTGCATTAAAAAAAATCTAAGAACACTGAATCATACATAATTATATTGATACTTGAACAAATGTCAACTTTTTTTTTTTGTAAAAAAAATGTACATTTACTTGTTTAATAGAAACGGTCAAAAAAGATTTTGAAGTTCTTATCTGAATAGGGTATACCTGGAAAGCTAAGGAAACTATGCATCTTGTTTTCAAGCAACCAAATGAGGAAACAAAGAAGAAGAGAATGCAAACTTAGTTATCAGCAGCACTCCTACACATGCACAGCTTCTTGGCTGAATGGCTTGCAAAACCACTGAGTGGAACAATGCATTATACAAATATCCTTTGCAGAGAATTTTAAACCGTTATCTCATTAGCGTTGTAATACGGGAAGGCTGGCTGAATACTGCAGGGACATTAATGTGAGCGGAGAGGTTCGACACGAGAGTGAGCAAAAAGTTAATTAGCACATCCTCTTTCTGAACTACAACCTTTGTTTTTTTTTCTGCTTTAACAAAGTCTGTGTTTAAAGTACTGCACATTTAGGTCAGTCTTAGCATCATGCAGGGTTGTTTTATTGGTCTAGGAGTATGGACAAGAAAAGTTACCTCTGTGGTTTGAAACAAAAACGTCCAAATAAAAAGCTTCTAGCAGTTTGAGTGTAAGAAGCCCAAAAAAAAAAAAAAAAAAAGACCAGAAACTGCAACTGAACAGGGCCAACGAATAAACCATAAACCAACACTACAGCACACCATGTAATCTGATGAGCAGTAATGGCTCGGACACCTCTGTAAGCACAGTGGTTTCTCTCATGGGTGGTCATTAAGCAACTTTCAGTACACTAGGAGAAAAAAAAAATCCAATAGGAGCAAATTAAGATAATTTTCCCAGGGACGACAAGCCTTCCATTAAGTACATGCAGCAGAGGTTAGCCACATGACTCACTGTTGCATTTTAAAATCACATGAACATTACTGATGAATGACATCTATATCAGCTCCAGGATATTTATGTAGTTGTTCATTAGTCTGAATTGCTTCTTGGTACCACCTTACACACACTTTATTTTTCTTTTCTAGCTGAAAAAACTTGATGTTATGAAATATTCTTACTAATCTTATTGTTTTCCAAGGTAACACATTTTTTCCCCATCAACTTAAAAAAAAAAATGCCACAGTGCCACTAGAAGTATTCAACTATAAATTTGAATTATGCTGGTTGCATGACAGCCGTAAGGGACAGCATGGAGATTATTGCCTGCTTCATGCAGCAACTTGCACACTGAGTTCCTATTCCTCCTAAAAGCCTCATTAAATATTAGCTTCTCTTGCTACAATGTAAACACAATTTTACCTTTACTTTTAGTCAGCCTAGGCACCACTCAAGTTTTTTTATGCCGTTTTTATTACAAAGCATTTTTTGTTACTAATCAGAATACATTTGACTATTTTTGCATGTCATTTGACAGTCAGAGTAGGAGTACTTTTTTAAACAACTTCCCAGAAAGATAAGAAGTCCTAAGCCAACACAAAACTTATCATCTAAAATGTTGCTTGCATCACAGTAAGTAAAAAAAAAAAAAAAAAAAAAAAGCAGCCTGTCTAACTGGAGCCTGCATGGAGGCCCTCTCAGTACTCTAAAATGGCATGTCCTGAATTTATTACAGCGGGTGTTGCATTATTCATAACAACCGTGTTTACATCAATGAATATTCATGGTGAAAGTACAAGGCTAGAATGAGGGTGGAACTATGAAACTGATTAAACTAGAAAAGTAGCTTTAGTTTGAGGGAAACATTCAATTCTCAGCTACTATTTCTAAAGCCTGATCTAATACAAGCCTTTTTCCCTACATAAATTAGCACATCTTTCACACAGTTTTAAATGCACTACAGAAAAAAAAATGCAAGTAACATGTATGAGGG